AGGGTGAAAATGGTGGCCTCCTAATCTCCGCCTGGAGGAGCCGAGAACTTGGGGCCCCACTCCTCAGTGCGCCCCCAAAGAAAAGCAGTCACTCCCGTCTCCCCGGTCTCCGGCCGCACTCCGTGCTCACCCGGCCTGTGACCCAGCATTTCTATCTCTAGCACCAGACCCTGTGGAGTCTCCAAACCCAGCAGATCCCTGTGGTGCGCTTCCACGCCGCTCCCCCGGGGGAGGAAGGAGAGTCTCCCCAGCTCTGCCGCTTGTTGGGTCCCTGCTGGAGGAGCAGTGGCCCGACTGGGCCGCGGATCACAGTTTATGGCAACCCCGAGCTGAGAGCCCACGCCTCGGCTCAGTCTCTGCAGCCGACTTCCCTGCTCCGATACCTGGGAGCTCTGCCGCACTCAGGCACCCCCGGTCTTTCTGTGACCCCGAGGGTTCTGAGACCACACTGTCCCGCGAGGGTTCCACCCCCCGCTTAGCCACTGGAGCGACATCCCTCAGCGGAGCAGACTTCTAAAAGTTCTGATTTTGTGCTCCACGGCTCTATCACTTGCCAGAAGCGGCCGACGGAGGCCCCCTCCCCCGCCGTCTATCCTCCCGAATATCGCCTCAGATTCACTTCTCCGCACGTCCTACCTTCCAGAAAGTGGTCGCTTTTCCATTCAGAGTGTTGTTACTATTCTTATCTTTGATCTCCTGTTGAGTTCGTAGGTGTTCAGAATGGTTTGATCCCTATTCAGCTGAATTCCTGAGACCAGAGGAAATCCGGGTCTCCTACTCCTCCACCATCTAGCTCCGCCCCCTTCATTTCCATTACTTTAAGCTTTTCGCTCTAAATCCTGCTCTTCATTCAAAACCCTGTACTGAACTTTCCACTTTTCTCCTAACTTTTTTACAAGGCATAAAACTGTGGAAGCAATAATTATAATATTGTATCACTGGGTTTCTAACATCTATAAATATAGTATACATGACAATACAACACAAAGGAGTGAGAAAGAAATGGAGCTATATTGAAAAAAGTTTCAATATTTTACCAGAATTAAGATGGTATTAATCTGAAGTTCAATGTATATTGTAATCCCTACAGGAGCCACTAAGAAAATAACTAAAAGTTTTAAAAGCTAAAAAAGGCAACAGATGACACAAAAGAACGCAGTAAAGGATGAGAAGAGGAATATAAAAGACATGAATCATACAGAAAACAAATAGCAAAAAGGCAGATGTAAATCCAATCACAGGAATGAGTACACTGATTTGGAAACGATAAACACTCAGATTAGATTTTTAAAAAGCAAGATCCAACAATATACTATCTTCAAGAAACACACTCTAAGATAAAAAAGAGAGATTGAAGGTAAAAGAAAAGGGTATAATATGCAAAGAATAACCGTAACAGCTAGAACAATGATATTATTAAACACATTTTTTTAGATTAAACAGATTTTAAATCTGGAAATATTACTGATGACAGAGACATTTCACAATGTTGAAACAGTCAAACCATCAAAAGATTTAACAATTTAAATGTTACACAGCTTCAAATATATGTAAACCAGAACTGTCAAAATTGAAAAGAGAAATATACAGTTCAACAATCGGCAGGGAATTCAATACTCAATTCTAATACTTAATAGAGCACCTAACTAGAAAATCAACAAGGTATAGAAGATTTGAACAACCTGACCTAACCAACATTAATAGAACACTGCACCCAACAATAGCAGACAGAACATTCATGTGCACATGGAACATTCTCCAGGAATGACTGTATATTAAGCCATTAAACATACCTCAAGAATTTCAAAAGAACTAAAATCATACAAATCTCCAACCACAGTGGAATTAAATTAGATAACAACAGAAAGAAATTAGGAAATTCTGAAATAATGGGAAATTAAACAACACACTGCTAAATAATCCATGGGTCAAAGAAGAAATCACAAAAGAAATTGGAACACATGCGAACTGAATGAAAAAAATACAACATATCAATACCTGTAAGAATGCAGTTAAAGCAGTGTCTACTGAGAAATTTATAGCTTTAATGATCACATTATAAAAGAAAGTTCTCAAAATCTATAATCAAAGCTCCACTTTAAGAAAATGGAAAAGGAAGCACAAATCAAAGTGGAAGCAAGTAAAGGAGGGAAGCAATAAAGATGAGAGATCAATGAAATAGAAAAAAGAAAAACAGAGGAAATCAATGAAAGCAGAAGTTGGTTCTTTCAAAAGATCAACAAAATTGACAAATGTTTAGCTAGACCTGGGTCTCTCAACCTCAGCACTGTTGACAATTTGGGCCAAATAATTCTTTCTTATAGGGGGTGGTAGTATGTGTTATATAAGGTTCAGCAGCATCCCTTGCTTCTATCCAATAGATGCCAGGAACAATTCCTTTCTCAAATTTCACAACCAAAAATATCTCCAAACACTGCCAGGGTCCTGGAGCAAATGGATGGGAAAACCACCCGGGACTGAGAACCACTGATCAGATCAAGAAAAGAGATGACAAAAATCAAGAATGACAGAAAGAAGATCATTTCCTATCCTACAGAAACTAACAGGATTATAAGGGAATTACTACCAAGAGATATATGCCAACAAATTAGACCATCTACATGAAATGGATTATTATGTTTCTAGGGAAAAAATTAAGGGTAAGTTACAAAAAGTACCATGCATGCTACAAATAAATAGTACATTATTAAAAACAGAAAATGTAATGCATTCAAGGAAAACTAGCCCCAAACTGTGGAAATATGTATCTCCACTATGTAAACAAGTATTTTAGGAGTTTAGGTTTTTTTAATCCTTTTATATACACAGGTAGTATGTTCTTATTGCAACAATTCTAACAGTAGAAAAGTACCTTAAGTAAATTTCAGGAACTTACCTCATTCCCCTCCATTTCTATCCTACTGATAACTACTGCTAAAAATTTGGTAGGTATACTTCTGTTTTTATGTTTGGTTTTTTGCCTCACTCACATAAACATTACATACATATTTAATGGTTTATTTTGTATAAAAATGAGGCTATACATATAGTTATATGAACTAAAGAAACTTGCTCTTTTACTTAATATATTAAACTTAGGACTCCAGAACAATTCATATAGTTCCACATATGAACTATCTGTCCCAAATATCACAAATAAATTCTTAGTAACTATATAATATACTTTAAAAGTTCCACAATTTGGCTACATCAAAATTAACCCAACCATTCTCTCACTGATGGATATTTAGGGGGTATCTTGATCTTTGATATTACAAACAATGCTGCAAAATATCCTCAAACATTCTTTTACATACTAGCACTTTTATTTTAGCCAAATACATTCCTGAGAGTCAGTCAGCAAATGCACTTTAATTTTAATAAACATTGCCAGATTCTTCTCTCCAAAGTTAGTAATAATTATTGCACCACCAACAGTGTATGAGAATACCTTATTTTCCATGTCCCCAACACTGGATATTGTCATACTCTAATTTCTGCCAATCTAACTAGTGAGAAGCATCTCTGTTGTTTTCATTAGCAATGCCCAACTTTCAAGGAGTTAAAGAACCTTTTCATAGGTTTACTGGTTATTTGCATTTCTTCTTCCTTGAACTACAAATTTCTAATCTTTCTCTCTCAAATGGATAGCCAACTGAATTATCCTAGATATGATGATGGGACAGTCTTCCACTACTAATTTGCACTGTTTTGACTGGCTAATCCAAGGTACTATAAACAAAGTCACTGTCTTACACAACCCAGGGGACAGCATTCAGGGGTTGGACCCCAGTGGTAAGTGGCAGGGTAGAGGGGCAGTCTCTGGTAGTGGTACGGTTGGGCCATTTGTCAGTGGTGATGTTGGAGTAGGGACTTCTAGGCTATGATGGGAAAAGTCTGCAGTGGCGGGGGCAGTGTACACAACTGTTATCTATAGGTCAGAGAAATTTGTTTTCTTTAGTTTTTGTTGGTTTTGATTTGAGAAAGTTTTTCATATAACAATACAGTGAATATACTTGGTACATCTAACTTTGCCCTAATACAATGTACATCCTTGTAAGCTGACCTTGGATGATAAGCACAATACTTTCAAAGGCTAGAATCCAGTATAGTGACTTCCTGAATTAAAAAGTATAGACAGGTATCTTAGATTTTGCTAGAAACAAATGTCATCTATTAGAGACCTCGCCTAGGTTTTGGAGCGCTGTCAACTACCCCCTAAACACATGGACTGCATGGCAGGAAGTTATCAAAATAATGGTCTATAACCATGGAGAAGGGTTAATAGATACTGAATTCCTGAACACGATAAATGCCTACTAATGGACCTGAAACTCCAGAATAATGAAATAATTAAAAAAATTAAATACTAGTTATAAAATGTCTGGACTTTAACAGAAGGCATTCAATATACTGCTATTAAAGGCAGCTGCTGGTTTACCCTTATTTAAAAAAAAAAATCAGGTTTGTTTTCTTTTTAATCAACCAGAGGTTTTAGAACCTTAAATTCCTTTTTTAGCATCTATTGAAATGATGCCTAATTATGGATATCATTTATTGAACATTTTAACATTCTTTTTACATGCTTCTCATGTAATCTCAGGATAATTACTGATATCTATTTTCTCTATTTTGGAGATGGTGCAGCTGAATCCTACGACTCAAAATTTCCCTAAGAACATCCCACCACTGAATGACAGAGCTTGCATTTCAAGTGGGGATCACACTCTATACTACTTGACATCTTTTTGTCAACATTCTAGAACAAGTAGCACTGGAATTAAGTACTGTTTGAAAATGGGGGGGCAATCATATTCATTTTTAGAAACAGTGCTTTGAACAGCAATTCATTCCAGTTATTCAGTTTTCTACTTCTTGAGTCTATTTGAGAAAGTTCAATTTTTAAGGAAAATCATCTATTTATCAAAAGTTTGAACATCCGTAACATCTACTTTTAAAGAATGGAAAAAGTATTTCAAAAACAAGAGATTAAAGTTTACCTTGACTTTGAGCCAGATGAAGAATTTTTGATGTAACATATCTGGCAGTATCTGATTCTGTAGATTCAGTATTGATCTTCTCCAGCTGAGCCAGGAGTCCCACGATCCGAGAATTATTGGTAAGGCTAAAAAGAATGTTATTTTACATTAGGGCACATTCTACATCACTTGTAAATTCAATACTATAAAGATCACTGTTTAAAAAAAAAAAAAAACTCTATCCTTTCTTAAAAACATTAAGCATTTATGCCACATTTCCTTACTCTGTTTTATAGCTTAACATTGATAAAATTCTATTAAATGAGAAACACATTTCATTTCCGAAAGCCACAAATGTGCATTCAACCCTGTCCAGCGATCTTACATCATACCTTGAAAGTTCACGTTTCCACTCTGCAAAAATACTTCTTACATATCCTATGCTCACCTCAAAACTAATCATCCCTCCCACCCCAGTCCATTTTCAGAGTCCTGCTTTATAACTGTTACAAGCCCAAACAGTAACACAACATATTCCCACTAGGACATCCTTAAACCTTTCTGATTCTCTACCCACATTCTTTCTTCCTTGCTCTCTTTCATTATACATTTGCACATTTGATAGCATTCTACGTATTAGCAACAGTAAGAAAAAATTCCTGCCCCCTACAGACTGAACATTCTAATGGTGAGAGACAAATTAAATATGTAAATAAGTATATAGTATTTAAGGTGGTAGGAAGGGCTATAATGAAAAGCAGGTTAGGGGGAATAAAAGATGCAGGGGGAGGGATACAACTTTAGACAGTGGTCAGGGAAAATGACATGACAGGGTACCATTGCGGGAAACGCCTGAAAAACGTAAAGGAGTAAGTCGTGCAGGAACCTGCAGAAAGAGCTGTCCAGGAAGGAGTCACAACCACCAAGACCCCAAGGCAGGGATCTCCTATACTGAGTTAAAAGTGAGGTGGCCAGGGCGCCTGGGTGGCTCAGTTGGTTAAGCAACTGCCTTCGGCTCAGGTCGTGATCCTGGAGTCCCGGGATCGAGTCCCGTATCGGGCTCCCTGCTCGGCGGGGAGTCTGCTTCTCCCTCTGACCCTCCCCCCTCTCGTGCTGTCTCTCTCAAATAAATAAATAAAATCTTAAAAAAAAAAAAAAAAAAAAGTGAGGTGGCCAGTGTGGCTGGAGCAGACTCAAAGGAGAATAATAGTAAGAGAGGAGGTCAGAGGTGGGGGTGAGGTGGGAGGGAGCACCATCATTTAAAGCTTTGCAGGCCACTGTAGAGATTTTGACTTTTATACTAACTGGGATGGAAAGCCTTTGAGCAGAAGAGTGATGTGCTCTGATGTTTTTAAAAGGCTCTCTTTGGCTGGTATGTTGAGACTCAAAGAACAATTTCTCGCCTGTTTACATGACCCAGCAACCCTTCCTGCATTCTCAATGTATCTGCTCCTTCAATTAATCTTTCCCCGATTCATCATCTCTCTCTCCTTTTCAACTGGATCATACCCACTGGCACTCACTTAATATGACGGAGAAGAACTCCCACTGGCTCCCACCCCACTCCTCTGCTACTCCTTGAATGAGGTGCCTATACTTGCTCACCATCCTCTCACGATCTGTTCACTTTTCAAGCTTGCCTTCTGCACCCTGAGGTCTCCCAACCTCCTGTGGTCACTTCTTTCCTCGTCATACTCAGTATCTCAGCACTATCCAAATCAGAGAGCCCCCTCTTCCTTCACCTCCTCCTCTGGTTTTCAATGACTCCACTCTCTATCTTCTTCCTGTCACCACCTCTCTGAGATCCCCTCTATTGGCTCCTCCTGTGACATATTTCTAGACGCTGACTCATGGACAGCTCTATCCCCAGCCCTCTTCTTTTCGCTCTCTCCACTCTTTGCCAGTGTGATCTCATCTAATCCCACCACTATAATTATGATCTAAATGCTGCCTGGCTCCTACACTCAACTCCAGCTTCACCCTCTTAGCTTACCCAACCTAACAAGCCCAAATATAAAACAATTTCTAGTTCCTCCTCTCAACATATTCCTCTTCCAATCTTAACCCTCCCAAACTCAAATGAAACCATCAGTTGCTCAGGAAAAGATCTGGACTCCCTGCCTCACACACCAACCCAGTAAAAGCTCTATCTCTGAAACGACTTAGCTCCATCCACTTGTCTCCATACCTACTATTACTACCCAAGTCCAAGCAATCATCATCTCTCATGGCCTCATAACTAGTCTGCTTTCATTCTTGCTTGCCAATAATCCATTTTCTCAGTGATTGTCTTTATCTTTTGATTTTGAAGTAATTATAAATACTCAAAGGAAGTTGCAAAAACAGTAGAGTGGTCCCTTCTACCTTTCACTTAGTTTCCCCAATGGCTACATTTACATGAACTATAGGGCAATAACAAAAACCAGGAAATTGACAGTGGTTAAGTATATAGTTCTAGGCCAATTTATCACATGTGTAGATTTGTAGAACCACTAACCTAATCAAGTTGCTATCCAGCTAAAAAAAAAAAAATCCCTTCAATGGCTTCCCTTCAGACTTTAGGTAAAATTTTATTTACTTATCACAGCTTACTAAGCCCTTTATCATCTGGCTTCTGTCTACCTTTCAGACTTTCTCACAACGTTCCCCTCAGGCACAGGGATCCACTTCAATGGCTATCAGTTCCCTGAATACAGCAAGTTTTTCCCCAACCACAAGGCCTTTCTGTCCTCTCAATCTGGAGATCTAGAGGGTGTTTTCTCCCAGCTCTATTTAGAGCTGGCAACTTCGCACTGCAGGCTGCAACCCAACCATGTGACTATTTCCTCACCAGCCCCTCCACTTCCGAAATTAAAAATGTACCTAAAGAATTTACTACTATTTGAAATTATGTAAACTCCACAAAGGTAGACCTTGCATGTCTTATTCTATATATCCAGTATTTTTTTAAATTTTATTGTTATGTTAATCACCATACATTACATCATTAGTTTTTGATGTAGTGTTCCATGATTCATTGTTTGTGCATAACACCCAGTGCTACATGCAGAACGTGCCCTCTTTAATACCCATCACCAGGCTAACCCATCCCCCCACCCCCCTCCCCTCTAGAACCCTCAGTTTGTTTCTCAGAGTCCATTGTCTCTCATGGTTCGTCTCTCCCTCTGATTCCCCACCTTCATTTTTCCCTTCCTACTATCTTCTTTTCTTTTTTTTTAAACATATAATGTATTTCAAACATTGGCTGGCACAGCACAGACAATACATATCTAGAAACATGAAAAACAGTATTTTCTTTTTTCAGATTAACTGTGCCAAATGCTTTAAATCTGGAGCTACTTCAACTGAAAAGGTATCTGAAGTTTGAAAATACACATTAAGCATACATTTGAAAATGGGCCTAATGTACCATTTAAAATAATGCAGTATTTCCCATTTTTCAAAGAGCCAGCATAGCACTGACATGAAGATATATATTGATATGTATAAAAAAACCCAAAAGACTTTAATATGTTCAGTATATCATTAACAGTTTTATAATATACAAATTCAATACAATATGTTCTTTAGCATGTGTATATATATATAAATATATATGTGTGTGTATATATATATAAGAAAACATTATACATACACACACACACACACACACACTCTCACACATAAAAACACGCATGGAAATGGTGGCCATCAAATCCAAAACAGTAATTATCTCGGGATAAGGGAGAAAGATGTTAATAGGGAACAGTACACACTGTGTTTGTAATTTTTTTATTTCTTAGGTGATCAGTACACAGGTGTTCATTATATCATTCTCTATCCTTTTTGGTTTTCAGAAACATTTCACAATTTTTTTAAATAAAAGAACTCTGTAGCTATAAAACTATGTTACATATTTAACTTTGTACATACTTTCTTTTTCTTCTGATGTTGCAGGAGGAAGGAACAATTCCTTAAAACTGTTATCATAAGTCTGAATGAGCAAAACCATAACTATGGAAAATTCCATAATGAACAGAAAAAGAAAAAAATAGTATAATGAACCATCATTTGCTCATCACCCAGCTTCAACAATCATCAATCCACAATCTTATTTTACACATACCTACCTAAAGGCACACCCATCAATGGGCTAATTTTGAAGCACATCTCAGAAAGATAATTTCCTGAAATACTTCAGCATTCTCTATTTCCCAAAATATAAAAACTCTTCAAAATATATATAACTACACTATCACTACCATACCAAAAACAGTAACAATCCTTTAATACCAAAATCTAGTCTGAATGCAATTTTCTTAAATTTATTAGTTCATCCTCATATACAAATCAGAAACCAAATGAGGTCTATATGTTGCATTTGTCTTTTTACCTACAAGTTTCCTATTACTTTTTTTTCTCACAATTTATTTGTTGAAGCAGCTTGACTGTCCTATAGTTTCCCACATTCTAGACTTTACCAATTACACATCCACAGCATAATATGTCTATCTTCTATATTTTCTGCAAATCGGTAGTTGAATTTAAAGGCCTAATGGGATGAAAGCTTGACTTGGAGATGTGAATTCCTTGTAAGTGGTACTATAACGTTCCATAACAAGGCAAATAGTGCCTGGTTCTCTTACTTTTGTAATATAAGCAGTCACTGGTCACCAATACCTAGATTACTCCATTAAGGATTGAAAAACAGTGATATCCATCATCCCACTCCTTCTTCATGTGTTAACTAAAACAACTCCATAAAGAGAAAAATTCCTTATTTGATTATCCAGAGGTACAACTCATCAAATAAAAGCAAAATAAACGCTGGTTTTTTAACTTACCTATATTTACCAGTTTTCAAAGAACGAGTTCATTCCCTAAAATCCTTTCCAAGTAACCAATGAAGTATTTTGGTTTCATGCATCAGTATGAACTCAAAGATTTAAACACATCTGATATTTTATCCACTGCAATTATAAACACTCAATGATCAATGAATGGGAGTTTCCTAAGTCGGTTCCAGAGTCCTTTTGATATGATCCAGTCCTTTGATAGCTTTCTGGCTTTCCGGTATGACAAGACTATTATTGGCAACAGTCTTCAAAGTACTCCACAAAACTCTGAGAGTACGTGAGACCCTATAATAAAATCTACACAGTCAAAA